TAGGTATAGCTCTCAAGAGGGCAGGGACACTTCATTGAGAAAAGGGGTAAAAGTCCCTGCATTAGGGGGTAAAAGAAACTAAAGCAGAATAAATTTGCTCAAAAATTGTAAAGCCAGGAGATGGAAGTCCAGGAAGGATAGCTCCGGATTTTGTTCTTAACAGCTATGTTCTTCTACTGAAGAGTTATTTCAAACAGAAGAAGAAGCCTCTAAGAAGGTCTATGAATCACATGATCCTGGGACTGAGAGATCCCAACCAGATATGCTCGTGAGTCACAGGTGCCTGTTTCCACACCTATGGAAGGCATCTCCAAAACACAGACTTCTCCCCATGCAAGCCTGATGAGAGCCTAGAATCCTCAAGTAGCCCACATTGGTTACCAAGACCACATCCTCATTCTACAATGATCCAATTTCTTGAGACGAACCTTACCCCAAGCACAAGGTACATGACTGGCTGTGCTAAACTTGGAATCTAAGTTTACTGATTCTTCTTTCCCAAGTTCACTCAATTCCTTTATATAATGATTAACTGTCCGCATAGTTTAAGACAGAGATTGCCCAAGTAACCATAAAGAAGCAGAATAGTTTGTATAGTTTTTTTACCACTAATCTAACAGCATAATTTATGCTGATAATCATCATCATTATCACTCTAGTTAAAAAACAAATAAAACAAAACGAAAATCAGTAACCAATTAAGTCTTAAGGCTACAGAGATTGTAGTGTATAGTCTTAGAGCACAGGGAATATATTTAAAACCCTACCCACCCCACTTTTCACCCTCACCCCTCCACCTACATTTTCACCTCTTTATGCATTAAACATCTTTATGCATTAATTAGCATAAAACTAAAAAGGGGGCAGAGGAAGCTACTTTTGAGCTCTGGTAACATGAAAGTCAAGGAAACTTGAACACTCCAGAGCGTCATAGACGAATGACAGAGCTAACGAGCAGTAATCAGGGAGCCGAAAAGGCTTCATGGTTTGCACATTTGACTTGGGTCAAAGCCACTTGGCTTTTTTTCTGCTGATGTGCTATTGACACATTTTCTTGGCCTGAGTGAGTCCTATCAGCTTTCTGAACAACATATGCATACCAAGTTGAATTACTGAATGATTCACGAGTATCTGCTGGACAACTGTACTAGTCTTTATTAAGCTTTTTACTATCTAATGAGTCTATTTTGGTTTTGTTCCAAATACATTCTTTAAGAATTGATTTTAGATTTATTTCTAAAATAAATTACTATTTATTATTATTCATTATAGAAGTCCTCTTGGTTGAAACATGGATTAACAGGCACCCATGATCTAGGGATTAAAAATTCCATGGCATAAAATACATACACATATTTAATGGAAAGAGAGATCTTCTGAAGGTAGTAGGAAGAACACTGATAACTAGAAAACTGAAGAACAAAGGGATTCAGGTTAAGCTTTCAGGAAAAAATAGGGACTCTCTTGTGACCTTCAGGTTAAGTCTCAGTGCTATCAGGCATCACCACAGAGGCCTGAGTCGATCCCCGGCAGGGAGCTGACTCACATACCCCCAGCAGACCTCTCCTGTCTTGCCTGCTGCTCCCTTCAGCAGTGAATTTCAGTAGAACGTCCTGTTCTGCTTCCCACTCTGTGTCTGGTGAATACTCTCACACATCTTCACCTCTGGCCTACACCCCAGTCCTCCTATGCGTACATCTTAAAAAAAGTTTTAAGTAAAAATGTTAGGAAAACCCAGCTAGAAATTATCATGAGAAGATAATGAAAAGAGGAACTAATGGACTTAATGTGAGAGCCTGGATGGGAAGGCGAGACCCTCCTTTCTCATCCTGGATGTAGGATTTAAATGGATGGTTCTTGCTCCTAGCGGTAGGGGTAGGGAAAGTGGCTTATTCAAAAAAACTGTATTTTGACAACATTCATGGCATTTCCTGATCACTGAAAGCAAAAAGAAAATTCTCTGCAACAATTAACTTTCACTTTACAAATACTTACTGAGCAACTCTTGATACTTTAATATACTTAGAACAAAGAAGTACAATCAAGTGACATCAGGAGAACTACATTTCCTTAAATCTGAAAACAAACTTTGTTTTAATTTTGGACTGAACACAAATACAACCAAATCCCTAAAATGAAATCATACCATGAATTAACATCTGTAAGATCTTTTCTTACAGCATTTTCTATTGGGACCTTATGCACTCACATGCAGAAACCTAACTTGAGGTTGCATAGTTGGCTTTTTCATAATGAGCATAATGCATACTGTGCATATCAAAAGGGTTTCCCTTAGGATTTTGCCTAGCAAGAAACAAGGTGAATGTAGAAGAGTTTCTAAAGTTTAGAAGGAAAACATACAATAAAATTCAAGATATAGTAATCTCTTTTAAGGTCCAAAGATTCCCAAATGATACAAGTCAAAGATTTTGGATGCCTTCCAAGGAAAAATAAAACACCAATGATTACTAATACCACCAGTAGCTGACCTCAGACCTGGTATTTGCTGGAAAAAGAGAGAGGCAGAGGACATACCTGCTGTCTGTTATTGGGCATGTGGGGGAGCATTGTGGACACATGGAACATGAGTTCATAATCTTTGTACGTGGTGTAGAGGGAGTGAGTTCCTGTAGAATCAGCTGAAAACAAAGATTGATCACAGAAACAAGTTAGGCAACGGCACAATTGGCAATTCAACACCTAGAGGGGCATTATTATAATAGAAAGGCATGTCAACTAAAATGAACAGCCCATTCAGCTATCATAGACCAGGTTTTGGGTGTCCTCCTGCTCCACACAGTCTCTATCACTTCCATCCCATGTCTGGTGCTTTTACTTGTATGCTTTCTACTAAATTCCTGGTTCCCACTCTCCTTTCTTCCACTTTTCTCACCATTGCAAAACCATTACTAGAGAAGACCCATCTTGGGTGTAGTGGAGGATGGAAGGTGTGTCTGTGCACAGTTTGTGCAACTGTTTGATTTGGAGGGTTTGGGCTAATCAGAAATTATCTTTGCCTCCATCTGTGCGTGTGCCTAGTTACTCCGAGGCACTTGATCTTCCAAAACCCAGAAAAACAAAACAGGATTGATTCAATATGATGCAGTTAATGTTCTTCTCAATAGGCAAGGACATGATAGGGTCCTATGATTGAGATAATGAAGAATAAATATGATCTCTTATTATATATTATACACTGACAAGTGTTAAACAGTTATGACATCTGAACCCCTGTTAATCACAAAGCTATTCACCTTTTGGAGAGCAGATTCATTATTTGTAAATTAAAAATCTATTTGTATGAAAACATTTAAATAATAATGTGAGGTTGTAGTTTTGAACTACTTTGAACATGGAGAGAAAGTAAGATATAAATGCAACTCAGGACAGCCTTGCTTAATCCTTGACTTGTATTATGTGTCTGTTTTTCTAGGTTTTTAAATAAGACACAACATTGTTCAGTATTATTTAAAACTTCCTCTCTACTAAAGAAATGCCTAAGACTTCTTTGCACTTCACAAAATGCCTTGCTTAAAGCTTTGCTGATTATTAGAATCAACAAGTTAAAATGTTCCTATGTTATCAATTTCTTGAGCTTAGGGGGTTGGTACTACATCTGTAATAAAACATGGATATCTCCTAATTCATAAAAATATGCACATGAATTGTACATAGGGAAATAGTTGCATTATTTGTGTTTCAGTTTTATAGAATGAGCATATTGGAAGAATTTCATATTATTCTCCAATCTGCTTCACTGAAGAGGGATGATGGGCATGCAAGGAACAAGCCATTGTTAACAGTGGCTTTACAGGACAGAGAGCCCACTGGGTAGCAAGCTAGCAACTCCAAGGGTGGGTAGTGTTTTCAAAGGTAATAGTTTTTTTTTTTTAAGTTTTCAGAAAAGTTCATGAGCCTTAAGTAATGCTAATATGCACAGTGGACAACTCTTACCCTGGTAAGGCCTGAGCAATATGTAATGAATCTAACAGTAAACCCCAAGCCTACCATGTGTGGAGGATAGGGGCCAAAGGGAAGCTGATAGCACCTTCAGACCTTGTGATCTGTTCTCTAAGTAGAACATTTAAAAACAGATCCAAAAACCAGGATTAAAGACCTGGCACCACCCTGATCCAGAGGAATATCAAATGACAATCCCAAAATTGAGGGTATATAGGGGGCAGGGAGCTGGGATGGGGTGGGATGAATGATCTAGGCTCCAATCTCACTGATCCTCCCCCAGGAGAAAAAGCTCCTACTTTACCACTCCTACCAGGAGTGAGCAGGTGCTTCCCCACATTCTCCAACTTGGAACAACCTGCTTATCTCTCTTATTAAAAAAAAAAAAAAAAAAAAAAAAAAAAAAAAAAAAAAAAAAACAAGCCATTGATTGCCTGATGATAAGCAAAATATTCCAAGATACATGAAATGACTCTGTGATATTTTAGGCAGTGATAGCAACAACATAACAATCCAAATACCAAGATAAAATATTTAGAATTTGTGAGGCCCATAAGGAATATGAGTATTTAATAAAGATGATACTAAACAAATACATCCATTAATAGGAAGGCATGAAGCCTTCCATCTGGCACCTTGGAGCACGTATGTGTCCCTCTCAGGTCACTGAGCTACAGAGTGTGGCAGCTACTCACCATTCTCCCTCCCAGGTAAACAGTACAGGACAAGAAATGAACAAAAGAAGCTTGACAGCAAGGTATGAGTGAATGTGTTAATATGTCTGCCTTTAAGAAATAAATGTGGTGCTCGTCCTTGGTATACCGGAACAAGGGTGTAATAGAAGGTTAGGCTACCAGAAAGAAAAAAAATATTAACAGATTCTTCATGAAACACTGGGGAATATCTGCTATTGTTACAAAGGAGAAAGACTGACCTTTGAGCTTGTGGGAAACACACACTTCTTAAGAAATGTGCTTCCTTTGCTCATATGAAGAAATCTAAATTCTATCCTCAGTAAGCTTGCTGGGCTACTTCGGGGGTGAAGAGCAGGAGGGCATGCGAACACTTGCTTAGCTGGATGCAGTACGCCTACCTTTGGAGAATTAAAGTTGTACACACATACAGATATGAAGCTTACTTTTATTATCTAGCTGAGCTCGATATTTACTGAATCCTTTGAGCCGTACTCTCTGGCCCAGCAGATCAAGGAATTCTTCAAAAGCTGGTCCCGCCGTCTCATTGTTATACATCTCCTCCTCTGTGCTCTGGCCTGCTTTGCAATAAAGGATCCCAATCTTGTGCTGAAAGCTCAGCTGAAATGGGGGAGAAATGTAATTACTTGGCAAAGAGCAGACAAGCCTACTTCCAGGAAAATTAAAACTATAAAAGCTTAGGATTTTTTTTTTCCCCTCAGGAAAATATGCCAGGAAAACTCCCAGAGGCAAATAAGAGAATAAACAACTATCACCGTAGAAAATGCTACAAATACATAACAAAACCAGAAGTTTCAAGATACAGCTAGAGAAATGTCAGAAACTCTTAAGAAATATATAATGTGTACCCACGGCCATGTGGCTGTGTCAGGGCTCCAAATGGACAGATATATTCAAGTATCGACTTAAAAGTACAACTGTGGAAACACTTAATCTTATACCATTCATGCAATAATGAGCATCAACTTTCAAGTCAGAAAGAAAAAAAGGTCATGAACTTTTACAAGTTTTCCCACTCTGGTTCCTAATCCTTGTTTATTTGTTTATGTGAACATTCATGAAAATAGGAATGGCTATAATGAAAAAAGTAAATCAAATTAAGATCTGGTAAGGAAAGAATCCCAACTGAAATTGTGATATATGTATATAAATAGAATAGTGTTTTGTTTCTACAAAAGTAACTTCGGTTGTGTAATTACAATTATTTCTACACTTTTGACTATCTTGAAAAGAAAACATCTGCTAAATAGACCATAGACCATAAAGAATTTTAATAGCAATTGAAGAGTTCCTGCTGTAATTCTAGCTCACAGTCAACCCTGTATCATGCTGGAAGCCACAGAACTGCTGTCTCCCAAGGCCAGGGAGAAACTGGATCCATTTTTACAACTTTTATTTTCCCCAAAGAGGAACTACTTCTTGCTCATGAAATCAGAGCTCTTAATCTTACTACTAGCAATCTGAGCCTCAAAAGACTGACAGATTATCAGACACCACCGATTCCCTACAGACATCAATCCATAACACTGCTCAATTTTATTACCCAGCTATAATACAGTCTTTAATCAAAATTCATGGAACTGACTATCCCAGTAAAATAAGGCAAAATGATACTTATTTCCCTCGAGCAGCAAAAAGTGATAAAAGCGGCTTCCATTAGCTAATGACAACATACAATCCAGAAAGGAGAAACACTTGCTTGGGTAACTGAAGCAGACTGCAGGAGATACCTCAATGCACACTAGGATAAATTTAGAGTTGAACAGGTAGAGTCAATCACCTTTATTTTGAATGCATTCAACCTTGACTGTGCCATGGAGAGGTAAATGGAAACCTCACCTGTTCACAATCTGACTAAATGAGCAACCTGTACTGATGGATCCCAGGCATTGTGGACAGTGCACAGGCACTGGGCTCCTGCCAGAGTCACATCCTCACAGTCTGTGGTATACACAATCATCCATGCCCAGAGTGTGGGATTAAGTGCAATGTGTGTGCGTATAACTGGGTATTTTCAATGTCACCAGAACCCCGGCAGCTGTCATAACACACTTGAGGCATGGCCTAATTCTCATGGGCCCAGACATTTCTTAGATGGAAACACAAGTCTTGGTCACCATTAGAATCTAAACACAGACTGGTGTGTCTGATGGTTTAGAATAAAGGGGTGTGGAGTGGACAACACTGAAGTCAGCGCAGAAGTACCAGAGGATTTCAGTTTCCAAGTATTTGGCCTTTGCCTGAATGAGAGTCCATGGGGACTATCAAGTCCATGGGACTCAAGAATCACTGGGATGGTGCTTGCCTAGTGATGGGTCTGCTGAACAGCATGTGGCCATTCCTTCCCTACCTACAGGGTCCCAAACAGCCCTACACCTGGCCTTCTCCTGCCTAGAGGTGGACACTATATGAGAAAAAAAGGTTTCCTGCCAGAGATGCCAGGACAGACTGACCAGAGGACATGTGCTGCAGAATAGCAGGAGATGAGAAGGCCAGATGGTGCTGGCACAAGGAGCTGGTAGTGCTGGAGGCAAATGGCAGGTAGAGCAGTAGAGTTGGAGGACAGAGCAGACAGAAACGCAGCCTCTGGACACACTAACACAAGGATGTGGAGGAAGCTGAGGCACGTTCTACTGGGTGTAGAGAAAGGGGTGGGTGCTGGTATGCATGGCGTTTGGGTTATAGGAGCAATGGACGACCATGCCAGCACTAACCATCCCATGGCATTTCTAGGGGGCTCTCGTTAACACAAAGGCCAAATAACTGTTGAGAGCAGAAACCCTGCTCAACATGAATGTCAAACTAGCAGGCTATCGAGTATGTCAGCAGTCATGTTGAGGGCATGTTAAAGGTTTGCTACAGATAATTATCTCCAGGGACTTCGAATAAATAACCACGGCTTATGTACTACATTGGCTGCAACTGTACAGAAACCTAACAGAATTCAGCATTAAGTGACATTATCGCTCACCTGAGTCTCGTCAACCTCATGAAAACAACCAAACCGTAACACAGCATCTCCTCTGTGGATATAGCAGGAAGCTGGCAAGACAATCTTTTCTGTCTGACCATCATATAAAGACAAGCAGAAATTCGAGCTTCCTGTGTACCAAAAATTCCCAGTTCTCTGTGAACAGTTTTGTTTCTAAGCCCTCTCAACCTTAGGCTGAATCACTCTCCTGATCTGATTGGAATTACAGCCAGTGCCACAGTCCTGAGTGTCCTCCAAATATCTCACTAAACTTTTAGGAGTGAAATGAATAAGCTGAATATCTATTTAATCTCCAACTACTAAAATTTATACTTTATAGAGGAGACACACTCATGGACTGTGTCAAACCAGGAAGGATTACATTGAAAGCAGAAACTGACAATACAGTCTTTTAATATTCTTCAACATTAAAAAATCTTTAAGAATCATGGCATAAAACTGGCTCATCTTCTCACGGAGCATATTTACTATTAGGAAAGGAAATAAATACAACACTACCCAGAAAAAAACCCTCAAACATCTTAATAGGTTTGTGGCAATTTCTAAGGCTCCTTTAGTAACTGGGAGGTCACAAAAGCTATCCAATTTATTCTAGAGATGAAAATAAATAGCAGCTCCTTTTCATGCAACATGGGAATAAGATAACATTACAAGCCATGGTTGAATTATTATGATGCTGTGCACCTGCAATTAATATGTCAATTTATATTCCAGAAAAGAAAAAAGTTATGGGAAGTTAAAATGTCATATTGTCTACTATTAAAAAAGTATACAAAAGGCAAACAAATATAATCTCAACAACAACAACAAAAAAACCTGTGAAATACAATTAGATCAAGACAATGCATTGATCTGCATAAAATCAGAACCCAATTTTCAAAATTAATTCCTTGACATCATCTTTTAAATTTGTGTTCATTAAAAATATCCAAAGGCATTTAATCTAACATATTTTATTTAAAAATCACCCAGCATAGTTTCTAGATCTATTCTACTACATAAGCATCCCAAATACTTGTTTCATTTTGTGCGATGATCAGCCATAGCTGCCCTATTATCTTTTGCTGAAACTTCAAAATTCAGGCTTGGGGAAACTGGACTAAATATGGAACTTTCTACAGGAGCTTAGGGGGACCAAATACACTCAGTCACTAGGCACCTGCTACACAGCAGAACCAGAGATTTGTTATATTTATACTAGAAACATAAGAAGACAAGAAATTACCCCATGGTAGCAAGTTCTCTTTACCAACTCTTCGTGACCAACATGAACGCTGTTCTTGTCAAGCCTCCTTTGATGTGCAGTATACAGACCCACTCCACCCACTCCTCTCTATCCTCCATGGTAACACAGCATCCTCAGCTGCTTCATGGGCATTCTGTTCATGCCACACTAAATGCATCAATCAGGGAAAAACTATCTTGTGTACTGTATGCTTTTAGAAGTCAGCTGCTCAATTTTAGAAGTTTGGTTTGGTTAAGTTGATTTTAACGTCAGATATATTGAAACAAAGAAATCCTGGGAGTATTCCTTCTGCTTCTTTTGACCAATAATGCAGTGTTAACTTACTGGAAAGACTGATGTTAATTTAATCAATTCTAGAATCCCAGTTACCTGAGTATCAAATAATTGCAGTATACCACAGTGAGTATTACTGGTGAGCCAGGAAAATACCTCACATTCTCACTAAATATGCAAAATAATTTTTCCTTGAGTAAATTTTGAAAAGTCTACTCATTTAAAATAAATTTCATATACCTGGAGACTTACCCCTGTTTCTCCTACAAGTGAGCTGTATATAAAACTTAAAGGACACTTTTCATCTTGTGATCATAATCCCAATCACATCCATTAAAAACTCTCTCCTGGGGCCCTC